TTTTTTTTTTTTGGTGCTGGGAGTTTTACCCAGCTAAGTAAGTGTTCTAGCATTGAGCTATACTCCTAGCCTTTTAAAAAAACTATTTTTGAGAAGTGATCTCACTTGCTTTAAACTTGCCATCCTTCTGCCTCAGCTTCCCAAGTTGGGCCCAGCCTGTGGTTCTTCTTCTTCTTGTTATTTAACACAGTTAATTTCATTCTAACCTGGCATCAACAGTTTGCCTTTCCTGGCCTGAGAACCTATTCTGTCCTTAGATTGAAAGTTGGTATTAGTGTTAGTAACTCTTCAGGTGTTTTTTGGGTAACATTTAATGACCTTTTTTAAAAAAAATGTTTCTGGTGGTTTTTGTTTTAATAAATGAAGTAGTATACCTGGACATTTGCTAGAGATATGGCTCCTAGATTCTTTGTTCTTAGTTTCATAAACAGAAACATTGTCAAAGTGCTGTCAAATCATACTCATGACATTTACCTGTCCTGTAGTGTTTTTGCCCTGAAAGCAAAGAAATGAAGGTTGAAAGTAGCAAACCTTGGCTGAGGTGGGGCCTCTGAGGCTATGTGGCTGTATCTGTGCAAGGTTATGACCTCAGAAGAGCCCCTAGTTTCGGGGGCATACTCTTAATCCAAAAGGCCCTCCACAGAAGGATAGATTAGATCCCTTCATGTGGTGGCCCCATGTGTGGTCTCTAGTTTTAGAGAGGCACTTCAGGGTGGCCCTATGGATGCTTCACTCTGGAAGACTTCCTGAATAACCAGTATTTCCTGTCTGAGCTTTCTTTTTTTAAATTTTTAAAATTTTTTTTATTTTTTTGCCTTTCTGAGACAGGGTCTCACTATGTAGTTCAGGCTGGCCTTGACTCACTTTGTAGCCCAGGCTGGCCTTGAACTTGGAGTGATCCTCCTGTCTCAGCCTTCTGAGTGCTGAAATTACCAGCATGTGCCACCATGCCCAGCCTGCCGGGCTTTCTTAAGAAATTAATGTGGAATTTATTTTCTTTTTATATTTTTTACATTTATGAAAGATTCTGAAATACAGAAAAGAACATGGACTATAGTTTACCTATATTCCCAACACTTTTTAAAATTAATGTTAACTTTTACTACCCTTACACTTTTTTTTAAAGACAGGGCCTCTCTATATAGTTTAGGCTGGTCTTCAACTCACTGTGTATCCCAGGCTGGCCTCAAACTTGTAGCAATCCTTTTCCTCAGCCTCCCAAGTGCTGGGATTGCAGATGTGTACCACCATGCCTGTCTATTGGCAACATTTATGAGTTAATTTATTTATGACAAAAAGCTTTAGCCCTATCCAGGCATGGTGGTGCATGCCTGTAATCCCAGCACTTGGGAGGCTGAGGCAGGAGGATCGTTGGAAGTTTGAGACCAGCCTAGGCTACAAAGTGAGCTCAAGGCCAGTTTGAACTGCATAGTGAGACCCTGTCTCAAAAAAAAAAAAAAAGGCTTCAGCCCTGAAAATAGCTCCTAGTGATTCTGGTGCTCACCACCCCTTGGAGTAAGAGGAAACTGCTTTGAGAACTTTGGGTATTGTGCACAGCTACTTAGGACATCCCATGAAAGCTCTCCCTTGTTCTCAGTTTTACTTCTTCACATTTATCTCAACTGGGGTGAGGACGTATTCATGGTACTGGTATGCTCCTGAGTCTCCATGGGCTGCAAAGTAAGCATTATTCTCTCTGGGTGGCATACTTGTCCTGTGCCATATGGTACCTGAAAAAGTACTATGAGCCAGAGGCTCCTTTCCTGGCTGCTTAGAATCTGTAGCCTGAGTCTTGATTAGGTATTACCCTCTAAACTTTCTCACCATTCCTGAAATAGAGGCCACTTAAAATCAGATTTCTAAAGGCCGGGCATGGTGGCACACACCTGTAATCCCCACACTCAGAAGGCTGAGGCAGGAGGATGACTCCAAATTCAAGGCCAGTCTAGGCTATAAAGTGAGTTCAAGGCCAACCTGAGCTGCATAGTGAGACCCTGTCTCAAAATGACAGAAAAGAAAAGAAAAGAAAAAAAAAAAAATCAGATTTCTAGGAGAGTGGTAAGGGATGGATATGGTTATAAGGCTAAGCAACATCTTCACTTGGCAGGGCCTGGCACTGGTGTGGGAGAGTAACAGTCCCCCACTCCCCGAGTAGCCCTGCTGTGGCCCCAGATGATGTGGAGGGACATGTCACATAAAATCGTGCCAAAGAAGACTCCATACCTCCCTATCGGAAACCTCATGAAGTGCTAAAATTAGACAACAGAAAGATTGCCTTTCAGATGTCTCCTTAGTATTACATTTAACAGTAGTGTTCTCTAACAGTTCCTTTTTTCCTTTTCTGCTCATAAAGCTAGCACACACACTCACGTGAAGGAATGTTATGTTGCTTAAGTGCATAGCTCTGAACGGGGAAGTCTTGCCCCAGCCTGCTTCCCTCACCCCTGCTGCTGGCAACCCTCTGTACCTCTGGAAAGATCTCAAAGATCTTTCCACCTCAGCACATATAACCCGACCTCATTCCTGATGAAGGCAGGAATCTCACAGTGCTTTTCCAGGTTCAAGTCTGAGGAGTCCTGTCAAAAACTGTCACAAGGCTGGGGATATAACTCAGTGGTGGAGTGCTTGCCTAACATGCAGGAGACCCTGGGTTCCATTCCTAGCACAGGGCCCGGCAGGTGATGGTGGTGCGGAGAATCTCAAGAATTCTGTCACAGGATATGACTCACATAACCAGAGGCTAGGAGGACCTGGTCCTGTGACCTCCTGAAGGCCTTTGTGTCAGGCCCAAGTATATTTAGGGACAGGTTTCATCTGCTTTCTGGTCTTCAGACCATCCCTCTGTAGATGTTGTAGGAGACACATTTGCGCTTATTGACAGTGGTGAGCCCTTCTATGGCAAAGCAGCCCCTGCATGCACTAGCTAGACCTTGGTGCCAAAGCGCCTTCCACTTTGGTTCCTCAGGTGTGCGTAGGGTTTGCTAGTGTAGGGTGATCTTTTCCATTTTGGGAATGCCATGTTGGGTGCTCTGTACCTGAAGTGGAGTCTGAGCATAGGCTCAGGTGTGCCCTGAGAGGACAAGGGGGGGCCACATAGGTGTGTCCTGGGAACATGGCTCACTGGTTTAGTCCCTGTGCCATTTATAGCCATGATTGTACTTATGTCATGAAATGAAATGCATGATAGCAATCATTTAAAAAAGCCCATGTTCAGGACAGCTTTTTGCCATGGATATATACTAAAAGGACGTATCCTTGAAGTTATTTTTTGAAAAAATTCCTGGTAGTCATTTGTAGCAATATTTGAACATGTTACTCTCTGAGGTTCTTTTTTTCTCTCTCTCTGAGGTTTTTGAATTTATATTTTTACTATACTTTAAGGACTACTGGCAGGTGATCGTGGACCCTTTGGAAACAATAGAGAGATTTATATGTGAACAATTGAATGCCTTAACATGAACAGTGATGTTCTGCTCTTTGTTAGTGCAAGAACCAAAATATTTAAATGTGATTTCAAACCTTGAGTGGGGTGGGGAAGCCTGTGGCAGTGATCAGTCAGACTGTCTCCTGGTTATTACAGTGTGTTTTTTTTCCCTTTCTTTTCCCCTTTTCTTCCCAAACCAGGTTGTCCTGGCCCGAGAACTAGCCACCTCTCGAGAATATGCTAGTAAGTACTTGCTGCAGTGAGCTGTGTGTCTGGGACTTGGAGATAGGGCAGCCTTCATGAACATGGCAGCCTTTTGGCAAGACTGAAAGTCTCTGTGCTGATTTTAGGGTCTAGGTCTTAGAGTCATGAAGCTGGTATGAGTGATTTTGGAAAAACTAATTTGTGCCAGTACTTTTATGAAATGTATCTTTACTATTTTTTCCTTTTGTAGTTGTAACTCATTTCTCTCTCACCTTAAGTTAAAATTCTGGAGAAACGTCATATTATAAAAGAAAACAAGGTCCCGTATGTAACCAGAGAGCGAGATGTGATGTCACGCCTGGATCACCCTTTCTTCGTTAAGCTTTACTTCACATTTCAGGATGATGAAAAGCTGTGTATCCTTTGTGTGGTTAGCGCCATTTGAAATTATGTCAGTCACCCTTCTTGTTTTGGACTCATGATCCCCCATTATTTGTTCTTACAAATAACCTCTTCCCCTGGAAGGAAAGGGTATAGTGTGGATCCCACTGTGCTGCTCTTGGACTTCTGAGTGGCTGACATTTCTCGAGGGAGCAGACAGTGCCAAAGACTGGTTGAGGCTGACTGCTGTGTCCTTCCTTCTCTGAAAGGGAAACTGTCCCACAGTTTTGAGGGTTTTATTGATAAACACCAAATCTAATGAACTGTTGTTGTTTTAAACCTGGTCACTGAACATTAATGCAAAGGTGTTTCTTCATTTCTCTAACTAGTGTCTTTGAAGAAGAATGATCTTGAGCAACCTAAGACTCCTAGCATAGGCTCCTCTCTGCCCTCTTTGGGCCTTGGTATAGGGTTTGGTTGGAAGGGACATCTCCCGGGACATTTGAGAAGTCCAGGAGCAAGCCCAAGGGAGTCTGAACCTTCCTCTTCACACTAGGTGCAGTACTCCTGCTGTACTCCTTGCTTAACACCTCTTGCTTTCTACGAATTTCTCAGCTTACTTCTCCAATAGCCTTCTGCTGTGTCCTTGTTTTTGTCCATAGCTCTTGCTCTTCTGACCTCTGGGAGACCAGTCTTTTCTCTTGAACCATTGCTTAGGAATCAGGAGTCAGAACTGTGGACGATGGGCAGGCTATACCTTTGGGGCACCAGCCCTCTTGTGAACCAGGCAGGTGGGTGGTTTTTACTCCCAGTGGCTAATCTTCCCTTCAGGGGAGCTTCTTCCCTTCCTTCTCCTTCTCTCATTGCCCTGAAAGCTGATTCAAGTATCGGAGGGTTGTTTGCCTCTTCCCACTTTCCACTGATTCTTCTGTGTTAAAACTGTTTCATTCTGTTCCCATTTTTTAAAAAAATTTTTAATTTTTTGTGATATTGGACATCAAACTCCAGGGTATTCAGTGACATCCCCAGCCTTATTTATTTGTTTATTTTTAATTTTGAGACAGTCTCACTAAATTTCCCGGGTGAGACTTGAACTCGCAATCTTCCTGCCTCATCTTCCCTCATTGCAGGGATTATAGACTTGTGTCATTATACCTGTTTGTTCTTTAAATTTTTACTTTTTGAAGTGCTGGGAATCGAACCAAAGGCCTTGTACGTGCTAAGTATATGCTCTACCACTGAGCTGCATCCCTAATCCCCTGCTCCCACTGTGTGTGTGTGTGTGTGTGTGTGTGTGTGTG